AAAAAAAAAAAAAAAAAAAAAAAAAAAAAAAGACTAAATGGAGACTACCAACAGGGTGGAAAACAAAACCCACAGAATGGGAGAAAATACTTGCAAATTGGACACCTGGTAAAGGATTAAAATGTAGAATTTTAAAAACGAATCTAGAAAGGATTAACATCTAGAATTAATATCTAGAATTTTAAAAATTGTTAGGGAAATGCAAATCAAAAGCACCATGAGATATTACTTCATATCCATCAAGATAAATATTTTTCAAAAAATGAAAAATAACAAATGTTTTGAGGATGTGAGAAAGCCAAAACCCTGATGTAGGGGCGGTGAGAATGTAAAGAAAGTGGTAGAGCTGCTATGGCAGTTCCTGAAAAAGTTAAACAAATAATCACCACATGGAGTTAGGGATGTGGCTCAGTAATAGAATGCTTGCACAAAAGCCTGGGTTTGATCCCCAGAACTGTCTTCCCCCACCAACTCTGCCCCCCCACCAAAAAAAAAAAAGAAGGAAAAGAAAAATTACCATGATCTAGCAATTATACTTCTAGGTCTGAAGAACTCAAAAGAACTGTTAGCAGGGACTCAAACAGATGCTTGACAAATACTTTTACACCACTATTAACAGCAGCATTATTCACAGTAGTCAAAAGGTAGAAATGATCCAAATATTCACCATAAAATGAATGGATAAACAAAATGTTTAAACAAAAGGGAAAAATTGTGATATATGCTAGAATGTGGATAAACCCTGAGAAGTGCATTAAGCCAGACTAAGAAGGACAAATATTGTACTTAATTCTATTTAAATGAGATACCTAGCATAGGTAAATAAATTCATAAAAAAAGACAGCCAGAAAACAGACTAAGTAAAGGTTACCAAGGGACAGAGAGAGGGATAAACAGGTGCGTGTGTATATGTATATGTGTGTGTGTATGTGTGTATAAATTGCTGTATGAATTTAAAGGGCTATTTTATGACTTATGACTTTATTTTTTGTAAAGCACATATTGAAGGATATATATAAAACAGCTACAATTTAGAGGCCAATAAATTTATATTCACCAAAGTAACTGATTTAAAAAAAAATCTTTACTGTGGTAAAATATACTTAACAAAACAGCATTTAACCATCTTGAAGTTTACAATTCAGTGATATTAAGTATGGTAACAGTGTTATGTAACCATAACCACCCTCCACCTCCAGAACTCTTTTCATCTTCCTAAATTGTGTCTATTCTGAGATGCCAATCTTATTCCCTAGAGTCATACATCATTTCTTTTTAATGGCTCTTCCTCCTTCCTCCTTCCTTACCTTCCTCCCTCTTCTGTCCTTTCTTTCCCTCTTCTCTACCCCACCTTATTTTTTTTTTTTAATTTTTGAGTAGAGAAGAAGGAAACTGTTTTACTCACAGATAAATCCATGTCTCCCAGTCTTTTTTGTTCCTGCTCAATAACAGATTCTAATACTTTATAGTAAAGCATCTCTGCAAAATGAAAATGTTTGCTGGCAATTTCTGTAGAAATAATTTTAAAAACACAAAAATCAAATACCAAGAAAATAAACAACATGGAAAATGAAGGCCCATCACACTCTCTCCACCCACAAAATAAAATTTAAATACCAAACCCATACTTCAGATACATGCCTTTTCTATAATTGCTTATTCAATTATCCCTAAAATTCCTTATATTCTTCATGGTAACATTCATATTTTTCTAAAATTGCTAACTGAAATTTGCATATAAAAAATTATAATATCACTGCATTAAGATTCTCACCTTTTTGTTCTGTTTGGAAAAAAAAAAATAGTTCTATGATGCTACAGTTTGGATGTTGAATATCCTCTAAATACCCATGTAATAGACTTGGTCCTAAGAGTGGCTCTATGGGAAAGTGGTGGGACCTTTACCAGATGGGGCCTAATTGGAAGTCCTTAAGTCACTGGAGGCACTGGGATCCCCATCTCTTCTTGTCTCTTTCTTGTTGTTTTCTGGCTTATGATATGAGTTTGCCTCACCACATACTCCCTGACATTGTTATCCAGAATCCCCCCAAGAGGCCCCAAACAATGGAGCTACTTGATCATGGAATGGAACCTCCAAAACAGTGAGATGAATAAACCTTTTCTAAGTTAATAAATCGGGTGTTTTATTTACAGTAATGAGAAGCTGACAGATGCTAAGAGATATGTAATTGGTTTACTATTCCACATACTTGGTTCCAATTTGACATCAACAATTCCCAGGCCAGGGTTGGGCATATGTACCAGTTACAGGTTGGTCATCCCTAATGTGGAAATCCAAAATCCAAAATGATCCAAAATCTGAAACTTTTTGAGCACCAGGATGGAGTCATTTGAAAATTCAACCCTGAACTCATGTCACAGGCAAAACACAGATACACTAAAACTACTGCATTAAAGTATTAGGCTATAAGGTATATATAAAACATGAATAAATTTTGTGTTCAGATTTGTGTCCTATTCCCCAGATATTTCAATTTGTACATCTAATACTCAAAAGTCTGAAAAAAAAAAAATCTGAAATGTGAAACACTTCTAGTCCCAAGCATTTCAGAAAAGAGATAGTAAGAACAAGGATAGATAAATGGGTTGACTATGTTGAAGAATCACTATAGTTTGTTTAATTTCCAGTTTACAAATGAAAACTAAAGAATTTACCAATAGCCATCAGGCATGGTGATGCACACCTGTTAATCCCTGTGGCTTTGGATGCTGACACAGGAGGATGGAAAGTTCAAAGCCAGCCTCAGCAATTTAGCAAGGCCCTAAGTAACTCAGTGAGACCCTGTCTCAAAACATAAAAAGGGCTGGGAATGCAGCTCAGTAGTTAAACCACACACATGAAAAAGAATTTACCAATAAAAAAAGAACAAAAAAATCTAACATAATATAGATACTAGTCTAAAATTTCTTTCAGAGAGGGGCCTAGAAATCACTTGGATAAAAGAAAAAAAAAGCCACACTACACCTCTCCATTTAGTCATAAGTCTTTTCATGTTTCTGACTGGATTACCAAGAAAGGACTCCATGTACTTAAATACAATAATAAACCTTACCTTTAGCACAATTACTGAAATCCTCATCTGGCTGGGAATGCTGAGAATATATTTCATACATTTCTTTTAATCTGTTAGCAATAGCCTGGGTTGGATCTCTGGAACATGTCCTAAAAAGTAATAAAAAACTGTCTAATATAAATGTCGTATCAGGTTATGAAAGGATAAAATATTATAACTCTGTAATTTCATTAACATGTAAATGTAAAATCTTTGGACACTATATACTTTCCAAGTTAATTCAGAAGATCCCATGCTTCCTTTACAAAGGTGGCTAGACTACTATTTGGAGTGAAAAAGTACATATGTTATCTTGTGAGGCACTGTACCCTTCACTTTGGTAAACTTAGCAATCTTGGCCCTGGGGCCCAACTAATGCCATGACTGGTCCAAACTCAACTTGCACATCCCCAATAACTGATAACAACCAAAAACTGCCTTCAATTGATTCCCTAGAGAACATAGGTGCTTTTAAGAACACCTGAAAGAAAACAGGAAGAGGTATGTAACCTATACTGCAGACTCACATAAATCATTACTGACATTCTTTTTTTTTTTTTTTCACCAAAATGAGGTTTATGTCATTGATTCTTTTTAATTAGAAAGCAATATAAATTAAATTCAGAAGGATTATACAAATACCACCATATGGGCCTTTGTAACCTCTGTGTGTTTATTTTGATCATAAATATATACGTTCACTGTAAAAACATAACAAGCTTGGAAAAAAATTTTTTAAAAAAACAGTTATAATTCTGTTAGAGATAATTACCAAGTATTGTATATAACCAGAATTTTATTTATGACACACACTTACCTTTTTACAAATGCAAAACCTTTGATTTTACCTAGTATTTACTGGTAATATTTAACCCCACTGAGGGTATTTAAGATTAGAGTTGGGAGGCAGTTAACTTTCTTTGTAGGCTGAGTGTTTTAGAGAGCTTTCAAAAGCAACAGTGGTTTTACTCTTGCTTTATGAACACAGAAAGCTTCATCTTATCTGTTCAAATCTGATCCACCTTTCAGAAATTTGTTCAGGTTCATGAAAGGGTTCATGAAGTTCTATGTCAACTCTCATTGACACTGACCACACAACCTCCTTTTCTACAATTGTAAAATAGTTGATAATGAGATTTGGTACCTTATCATACAGGGTTTTGCATTGTTAGTTTACCATTTCCTATATCACATTAGAGAAATATGAGCAAAGATGACCTTCTGCTTATTCATCTTATATTGCTATGTCCTCTGCTGACCAACAAGACTGAGCATACAACTGCTATACAATTATTAAAATGAGGTATAATAGTGAAAAATTGATATAGGAATTGGAAAATGATCAACACCCAATCTTGGAAAGGTAGCCAGAGCTCAAACTAACCTGAGAATCTGTTCCAATTTCTCACTCGGTGCATTCCTGAGGCCCGTCAGCATGGTGTGAAGACGACTCAAGCTATGTGTAGCTGTAGAAATGGGAGTCACACAAGGGCTGTTCTCCTTAATGTACCTCACACCAGTGAGTGGTGTGGAGATTCTAAGTGCTTTAGACTGGTGAAAAAAAATTATTAGGTAAGAAAGACTTTGTTACTTCACAAATAGGAATTTAAGTCAATCAGACCTTATCTTTACAATATCAATAAATTTTAACAACTCATTTATCACCTTCCTAGAACTTAAATATAACACAACTAAGAGCTGCCGTTATCCATGTAAAGATATGTGACAAGACACTATTTATTTTAGCCAACTATATGTTTGTGTCTTAAAAGTTAAAACTTTAAGCCAGGTGAGGTAGCACATGCCTGTAATCACAGTGACTTAGGAGTCTAGGGCAGGAGATTACAAGTTTGAGGCCCACCTTAGCAACTCATGGAAGCCTTAAGCACCTTAGGAAGACCCTGTGTCAAAATAAAATAATAAAATAAAATAAAAAGGGCTGAGGATATGGCTCAGTGTTAAAGTATCCTGAGTTCAATCCCCGAGTACCAAAGGGAAAAAAAAGTTAAAACTTTAAGGTATATCTTCCTATTATCTCTCCTTCAAAACTTGAGCTCAAAGGAAAGATAAGCATTATGTTTTTAAAAATTAAGAATATTATTCTCATGTCTGAGAAACAGAATTTGACAGCTCATATTCACCATCATGTCTGCAAATCTCAAAGGATGGACAAATGAAAGAAAGCTATGGATTAAATCTGGCCCAAGTAAAATCCAAAGCATCAAATCTCCTTCAGAGAGACGATTAAACATTCTCCATAAAGGCAATCTGAGGAAAAGCAATCTTCATCAATCTTTTTGCCCCTCCACTATCTTTTTTATTTTTTTTTATTGTTGGTTGTTCAAAACATTACATAGTTCTTGATATATCATATTTCACACTTTGATTCAAGTGGGTTATGAGCTCCCATTTTTACCCCATATACAGATTGCAGAATCACATCAGTTACACATCCATTGATTTACATATTGCCATACTAGTGTCTGTTGTGTTCTGCTGCCTTTCCTATCCTCTACTATCCCCCCTCCCCTCCCCTCCCCTCTTTTCTCTCTGCCCCCTCTACTGACATTCATTTGTCCCCCTTGTATTATTTTTCCCTTTCCCCTCACTTCCTCTTGTATGTACTTTTGTATAACTCTGAGGGTCTCCTTCCATATCCATGCAATTTCCCTTCTCTCTCCCTTTCCCTCCCACCTCTCATCCCTGTTTAATGTTAATCTTCTTCTCATGCTCTTCGACCCTACTCTGTTCTTAGTTACTCTCCTTATATCAAAGAAGACATTTGGCATTTGTTTTTTAGGGATTGGCTAGCTTCACATAGCATAATCTGCTCTAATGCCATCCATTTCCCTGTAAATTCTATGATTTTGTCATTTTTTAATGCAGAGTAATACTCCATTGTGTATAAATGCCACATTTTTTTTATCCATTCATCTATTGAAGGGCATCTAGGTTGGTTCCACAGTCTTGCTATTGTGAATTGTGCTGCTATGAACATCGATGTCGCAGTGTCCCTGTAGCATGCTCTTTTTAGGTCTTTAGGGAATAGACCGAGAAGGGGAATAGCTGGGTCAAATGGTGGCTCCATTCCCAGCTTTCCAAGAAATCTCCATACTGCTTTCCAAATTGGCTGCACCAATCTGCAGTCCCACCAGCAATGTACAAGTGTACCCTTTTCCCCACATCCTCGCCAGCACTTGTTGTTGTTTGACTTCATAATGGCTGCCAATCTTACTGGAGTGAGATGGTATCTTAGGGTGGTTTTGATTTGCATTTCTCTGACTGCTAGAGATGGTGAGCATTTTTTCATGTACTTGTTGATTGATTGTATGTCCTCCTCTGAGAAGTGTCTGTTCAGGTCCTTGGCCCATTTGTTGATTGGGTTGTTTGTTTTCTTATTGTCTAATTTTTTGAGTTCTTTGTATACTCTGGATATTAGGGCTCTATCTGAAGTGTGAGGAGTAAAGATTTGTTTCCAGGATATAGGCTCTCTATTTACCTCTTATTGTTTCTTTTGCTGAGAAAAAACTTTTTAGTTTGAGTAAGTCCCATTTGTTGATTCTAGTTATTAACTTTTGTGCTATGGGCGTCCTACTGAGGAATTTGGAGCCCGACCCCACAGTATGTAGATCGTAGCCAACTTTTTCTTCTATCAGATGGCGTGTCTCTGATTTGATATCAAGCTCCTTGATCCATTTTGAATTAACTTTTGTGCATGGCGAGAGAAAGGGATTCAGTTTCATTTTGTTGCATATGGATTTCCAGTTTTCCCAGCACCATTTGTTGAAGATGCTATCCTTCCTCCATTGCATGCTTTTAGACCCTTTATCAAATATAAGATAGTTGTAGTTTTGTGGATTGGTTTCTGTGTCCTCTATTCTGTACCATTGGTCCACCCGCCTGTTTTGGTACCAGTACCATGCTGTTTTTGTTACTATTGCTCTGTAGTATAGTTTGAAGTCTGGTATCGCTATACCGCCTGATTCACACTTCCTGCTTAGCATTGTTTTTGCTATTCTGGGTCGTTTATTTTTCCATATGAATTTCATGATTGCTTTCTCTATTTCTACAAGAAATGCCATTGGGATTTTGATTGGCATTGCATTAAACCTATAGAGAACTTTTGGTAATATCGCCATTTTGATGATGTTAGTTCTGCCTATCCATGAACAGGGTATATTTTTCCATCTTCTAAGATCTTCTTCTATTTCTCTCTTTAGGGTTCTGTAGTTTTCATTGTATAAGTCTTTCACCTCTTTTGTTAGGTTGATTCCCAAGTATTTTATTTTTTTTGAAGATATTGTGAATGGAGTGGTTGTCCTCATTTCCATTTCAGAGGATTTGTCGCTGATATACAGGAATGCCTTTGATTTATGCGTGTTGATTTTATATCCTGCCACTTTGCTGAATTCATTTATTAGCTCTAATAGTTTCTTTGTAGACCCTTTTGGGTCTGCTAGGTATAGAATCATGTCATCTGCAAATAGTGATAATTTAAGTTCTTCTTTTCCTATTTTGATGCCTTTAATTTCTTTCGTCTAATTGCTCTGGCCAGTGTTTCGAGAACTATGTTGAACAGAAGTGGTGAGAGAGGGCATCCCTGTCTTGTTCCAGATTTTAGAGGGAATGCCTTCAATTTTTCTCCATTCAGAATGATGCTAGCCTGAGGCTTAGCATAGATTGCTTTTACAATATTGAGGTATGTTCCTGTTATCCCTAGTTTTTCTAGAGTTTTGAACATAAAGGGATGCTTGTACTTTGTCGAATGCTTTTTCCGCATCTATCGAGATGATCATATGGTTCTTATTTTTAAGTCTATTGATGTGGTGAATAACATTTATTGATTTCCATATACTGAACCAGCCTTGCATCCCAGGGATGAATCCTACTTGATCATGGTGCACAATTTTTTTGATATGTTTTTGTATCCGACCTCCACTATCTTTAGTTATTGGACTCTATCACACTTTTTCTCTCTAGAATAGACAAGTCTTCCCAGAAATGTATTCTTGTATATAATATAAAAAAGATACAACTTAAAGACAAAGAATTTAAGCATAAATACATCTGCAAATAAAGCATCTTTTCTGATTTTTGCATAAACTCTGAAAAATTAAAGTAGTTAAAATAGCTTAATACTATCTTTTTATTATTATTATTATGGAACCCAGGGCCTTGTGCATGCAAAGCAAATAGTCCATCACCGAGCTATAACCCCAGTCCTCAGCAGCATTTTTGATATTTAAAAAAGACAAGCCATATTTCCCTAAATATTAAATGTACTTACTCTAGAGTTTTAAAAACACCTAGCACAATTTTCAACTGGCATCAGAACAAGCTGTTCAATTCTCACTTGATACAGAAAAGCTCAGAAATAAATCTATGTGGTTTCTAAACTACCCCATTCAAAATAGTCTCAAAAAATATAAAATACTTGGGAATCAATCTAACAAAAGTAGTAAAAGACCTCTACAGCAAAAACTACAGAACCTAAAGAAGGAAACTGAAGAAGACCTTAGAAGATGGAAATATCTCCCATGCTCTTGAATAGGCAGTGTCGATATTGTCAAAATGGCCATGAATACCAAAACTATTATACAGAGTTAATGCAATTCCTATTAAAATCCCAATGCCAGGGGCTGGGGTCGTGGCTCAGTGGTAGTGTGCTCGCCTAGCATGCATGAGGCACTGTGTTCGATCCTCAGCACCACATAAATGTAAATTAAAGATATTGTGTCCACCTAAAACTAAAAAATATTTTAAAAATCCCAATGTCATTCTTCATAGAACTCGAAAAAGCAATCATGAAATTCATTTGTTAAAATAAGAGACCCAGAATAGTCAAAGCAATCCTTAGCAAGAAAAGTGAAGAAGGGGGTATCACAATACCAGACCTAAAACTATACTACAGAGCAGTAGTAACAAAAACAGCATGGTATAGGCACCAAAACAGACATGTAGACCAATGGTACAGAATAGAAGACACAGAGACCAACCCATATAAATACAGTTATCTTATTAGACAAAGACACCAAAAACATACATTGGAGAAAGGATAGCCTCTTCACCAAATGGTGCTGGGAAAATTGGAAATTCATCTGTAGCAAAATAAAATTAAACTTCTCTCTCTCTCACCATGCACAAAACTCAACTCAAAGTGGATCAAGGAACTAGAAATTAGACCAGAGACCCTGCACTGAATAGAAGAAAAAGTAGGCCCAAATTTTCAACATGTCAGATTAGGCCCCAACTTCCTTAACAAGTCCTAAAGTGCAAGAAATAAAATCAAGAATTTATTGAATGGGATAGATTCAAACTAAAAAGCTTCTTCTCAGCAAAAAGAGACAATCACTGAGGTGAAGAGACAGCCTACAGTATGGGAGCAAATTTTTACCACACATACATCAGATAGAGCACTAATCTCTAGGATATATAAATAACTCAAAAAACTTACACCGAAAAAAAAAATCAACCCAATCAATAAATGGGCTAAGGAACTGAACAGACACTTCTCAGAAGAAGATATACAAGCAATCAACAAATATATGAAAAAGTGTTCAACATCTTCAGTACTTAAAGAAATGCAAATCAAAACTAAAATTTCATCTCACCCCAGTCAGAATGGCAGTTATCAAGAATACAAGCAATAATAAGTGTTGGAGAGGATGTGGGGGGAAAAGGTACACTCATACATTGCTGGTGGGACTGCAAATTGGTGCAACTACTTTGGAAAGCAGTGTGGAGATTCCTCAGAGAACTTGGAATGGAATCACCATTTGACCCAGTTATACCACTCCTTGGTCTATATCCAAAGGACTTAATATCAGCATACTATAGTAATATAGCCACACCAATGTTTATAGCTGCTAAATTCACATTAGCTAAACTGTGGAACCAACCTAGATGTCCATCAATAGATGAACGGATAAAGAAACTATGATATATATACACAAGGTATAAAACTCGGCATTAAGAGAATAAAATTATGGCATAATTTGTACGTAAATGGATGGAGTTGGAGAATATTAAGCTAAGCAAAGTAAGGCAATCTCAAAAAACCAAAGGCTGAATGTTTTCTCTGATTAGTGGATACTGATCTATGATGGTGGTGGGGCATGGGAAGAATGGAGGAACTTTGGATTGGGCAAAGGGGAGGGCTGGAAGGGGTTATGAGGATAGGAAAGATGGTAGAATGAGATGGACATCATTACCCTAGGTACATGTATGATTACATGAATGGTGTGTCTCTACACCGTATACAACCAGAGAATTGAAATGTTGGACTCCATTTGTGGTCAATGAATTGAAATGCATTCTGCTGTCATGTACAACTAAGTAGAACAAATTTAAAAATTTTTTAAAAAAGAAAGAAATCTATGTGGTTTCTACATTAAATATGTATGCTTTCTATATGTCTCAGATAGTAGTAGAGCTAGCTGGACATGCCAGCACACACCAGTAATCCACCGACTGAGGAGGCTGAGGCAGGAGGATCAGGAGTTCAAAGCCAGCCTCAGCAAAAGTGAGGCCCTACGCAACTTAGCAAGACCTTGTCCCTTGTCTCATTTAAAAAAAAAAAAAAAGACCAGTAGAGCTGAGACCCTTATTTTATTTTGTTTAGAGGAAATTCATCCTATTATTTTTTTTTTTAAGTTCATAACATGATCTGGGTAGATGAACTGCATTAACTCTCTGCCTTAGCTCTCTTGAAGCCAACTTCTTTACCGTATATGAACCTGTGCCTGATTTGAGGGAGAAAAATGCCCGGTGCACGTAAGAAGTCAACAGCAGCCAGCAACATTTAACCACATTACCCACAGGCAGCATTTTCATAGAGGAAATCAGAATATAACAACCAGTTTCCAGCCTATTCTCTTCAAGGTCAACATGGAGCTATTTGGTAGCACTGTTTTAAGTGTTTAACTTACTTAAAGCTCCCTGTGCATTCTAACCAAGAGGAATTTTTCTTTAACTCAAGTATGATATGAAGTTGATAGTTTAAAAATACTAGGATGTTGCTGGGCACAATGGTACTCTTCTAGTCCTAGCTACTCAGGGAGTGGAGGCAGGAAGATCTCAAGTTCAAGGCCAGCATGGGCAACTTAGCAAGACCTTGATTTAAACTATAAAATAAAAAAATCTGGGGATATAGGTGAGTGGTACAGTACCCTGGCTTCAAATACTGCAGTACTGAAAAAAAAAAAAAAAAAAACAACAACACATACACACTCACACATACACATATATATACTAGGCTGTTCCTTCTCCAAGTGAAGACTTCCAAAATTTGCAATGCAACTGTCCTTAAAACTCACACTGCTAAGTAATCTCTCTTCATTCCATAACTTTAAAAGCCATCCACATCCTGATAACTCCAGAAAAAATATGTACATAAAAATATACATATGCATGTATGTATACATAACCTTAACCTCTGCTGTGAACTCCAGTGATGAATTTCTGAGCTGCCTACTCAATGACTCTACTAGGATGCCTAAGACATAACTCAGATTTAACATGTTGAACTTTAACTCCTGTTTTTTTTTGGTAGTGCAAGGTATGGAACCCAGGGTCTTACACATGCTAGGCAAGTGCTTTGCCTCCGAGCTACATCCCCAGCCTTCCAGCCGTAACCCTAACTTTTGATCCACCCCCAAGATCTGTTCTTCCCTTTCAATAAATGTTAACCATAAATATATTTGGAATGCCTATTATATGTTGAACACTGCAAACAATAAGGTAACATCCCTCATGAAACTTGTGCTCTAGTACAAGGAGATAGATAACAATTCTTTCTATCAACCTACCCACCTATCTACTTATTTACTGCTAGCAATAAATACTGAAATGACATCAATAGCAGAGTACGGGAGAAAGGAAGTCCTGAGGGTTGGAGGACGCTGGTGGTTATTATTTTACATAGTAATCAAGTTATCAGAGATCAGAATGTAGTGAGGAAGTAAGCCACGTGAACATCTGAAGAAACATGTTTTAGGCAGAGGAAACAGCAAGGCCAAAGGCTTTGAGTAGACAGCATGCATGGCATATCTGAAAAATGAAAAAGGAAGTTAATGTGGCATAGTGGAATGGGTGAGGAGGAAAGAAATAGGAGATGAATTCAGAATGATAACAGGGCCAGGTCACTTAAGACCACACAGGCGTTTGTAAGGACGTTAGTTTTTATATCACTCACCCTATTGTCATTATTTTTCATCTGTCACATCTTAATCCAAAATGTCAATAAATCCTGTGGCATCTCCAAAATGTGACCCAAATACAGCCATCTCTCTCCATCAAAGTATCATCCATGAATTATCACTAGAATAGTGATAATCAACAGCCTCTTAACTGCCTACTTTCACCCTTGCCCCTGACCCCACTTCCCCACAAGACCTTTAAAAAGGCCAATCAGATCACATAGCAGGGGTCACTCCTCAAAAACACCTCTTAAAACCTTTCATTTCCATCAGTGCAAAAGAAAAGTTCCTACAAAGGCCTCCAGAGCCTGCATGATCCCAGCTATCCCTTGCTCCTCCCTCCCTTTACTTCTTATCCCTCTTCCCCTCCCTCACTCCATTCCTTATGCACTAATATTCTCACTGTTCAGAAATGACATGGAGTTTCTACCTCAGAGCCTTGCGCCTGCTATTCTCTTAGCTTCACACTTATTTCTGCAGCTATTTCCATGACTTGCTTCCTCACTTATTTAGGTCTCTGCTAATATTACCTCCTCAAACATTTTTTCTTACCTTATCTATAGTACCTCCATCTGCCCATCCATTCTCCCCTACCCCCAATACTTTGTATTACTAATCTATTTAATTTTTCTTCATATAATATAATTCAACATATATTTAACTCTTTGGTTATCTGAGGTCCATCTCCCTACTCTAGCTATAAGCTTCTTTAAAACAACATATTCATGGTTATTTTGTTCAGATATATTTTCCAATGTCCAAGACACAATATGGTATATAAAATACCTTTAGAAATAAAAAAGGCAGATAAGTCTCAAATCTGAAGCAACTCACTTAAAGGGAGGGGAAACTCAGTCTTTATCAGTCTAAGTAATACCACACGATGCTGAAACTCATTTTAATAGAATTTTCTTAAATAATAGAGTTTGTTTCTCCAGTTTCTTTAATGAAGACCCCAATTCAGGTTAATTATTAACATTTTATAAATCCCTACTATGTTCATCACATGCATAGGCTGTATACTATTGGCCCATCTTTTCAAAACCAAAAATTATCAGCATGACACTTTTGTTTTAATTTACAATAAATTCTCTTTTGCTTAGACCTAACTAAAACCTTTCAAAGTTGATGTTAACCAAAAGTAAATTAACAAGATAACTTTTAATTGAGAGAAGTAGGATGGAACTATTTTTTTCATTCAGTAAACAAATAAAACACAGAGAACTACAAAAATAAAATAGAACCCTCAGCTTATCTGCACCCGTATTTTGTACTCTCCTGAGATGACTCCACTCACCTTGTCAAAATGCTGTTGCAAAATGTTTTTCATCTGTACTCTTTCAGCACTCTCTGTTCCTGAACCAGAGTTCAGGCACCTTGAAAGAGTCCCAATTTCCTCTTCAGCATCCTCTCCAAGAAATATTCTTTCATCTAAATTCCCAACAGATAAAACATACTCCTCATAGGCCTTATTGATGGCTTTACTGTATGGAAAAAGAAAAAACAACAAAATGTTCTCTCTCAAAGAACTGCCATTTCAGTTAATGTTTCAGGCCACTTAATTATTTCATTTTTTATTTACTAAAAGTTCTAATAATTTTTGAAAGTTAAATTTCATTTGAGATCATTGTTTATAAAAACTGAAGGGAATAAAACATAAGATTGCTACACTGTGTGCATCCACTGCACAGGGAGTGTATCTCACTGATAGTGTTTTATAGTGTATACCCTGTACCAATCTGCCTGGTAGATGCAACTCCTGGTGAAAAGCTTAGCTATCTTTCCCAGCTGTTATAAGAACCTCTGAAAACCTCAATATTTCCACATTGTCACTTTTCACCCATAAAGTTGCAAAAGCGTGATGTGACTAATCATTCAAAAAACAATTTTCACTAAATTTAAAAACAGAATTTTTATTGCTTCCTATATTCTCTCATAAAACATTTTAAATTCCCAGAGTACAAAACAATAAAAACATTAAACTTTGAGGTTTCCTAAGTACACAATTTAAAATATTAAAACATTTTAACAGATGTACTCACAAACTCTCTCCAAAGTTCCCAGGTTCCAAAAACCCTGTAAGATTTTCTTCTTTTCCCTTGAGGAGCTATGATGAAAGAAGAGATTTTAAATTATTATATGAGTCAGGCATGGTGGCACACTCCTGTAATTCCAGTGGCTCAGGAGGCTGAGACAGGAGAATCACAAATTTAAAGCCAGCCTCAGCAAAGGTGAGGTGCTGAGTAACTCAGTGAAACCCTGTCTCTAAATAAAATATAAAATAGGGCTGGGGATGTGGCTCAGTGGTCGAGCACCCCTGAATTCAATCCCTGGTTCCAAAAATAAGTAGGTAGGTAGATAAATCATCATACGAAATCAAGTCTTTCTCTAGAAAATAATTTCTTGTTATATCTTTTTACTTACAAACCTTTTTCTCATAAAGTTTCCTAATATAGGGCTTCCAGAAATGTTCCTTTATTCCCTTTGCTTCCAAAACAAGACCATCATGTAAGGAACAGAGTTTCTCAATGACACAAGGTGGGTCAGAGGAAGGTTTAAAATCCTTAGTGTGAAAATCTTCACATAGGCCTGTGATGAAAGAAATAATAAAATGAAGATATCAGTACTCAATAAATTAAATTTTAATAAGCCAAAATGCAGAATCTAATCAAGATCTGAATAGCATATGAGTATAGTTAACAGTGTATATGTTCCTAATTCAACTCTAAAAAAGTATATCACAACTTAAAAGATTTTATTTGGTCATCTATTTGGATATGATTAAAAATTAATTTATTGCTCTAAGACCTAAAAAAAAAAAAAAAAAAAATACAACTTTGCAAATAAGCTTACATTCAAACAAGAAACACCACTTCAAAAAAAAAAATTACAGTTCAAGGATTATATACTTAGATTTAATTAGATTATTTATCATATTAATTTAGTTTATTCTTGTTGTAGGCTCAGCACAAGAGCAAAAAAAGAAGTTAAAGAAAAATAAAAGATTAAAAGAAAACAATGGGGGAAGCAACCATTAAAAAAATATAAAAATGAGCTATGGGTATAGTTCTGGGATGGAGCACAGAGGCAGGCCCTGGTTCAATGCCCAGCATGAGGGGTAGGGGGTGAAGGAAAGAAAGGAAAGGAGGGAGGAAGAAGGAAGAGGTAAGGAGAGAAAGAAAGAAAAAAGGGAGTTAAGAAAGAATGAGACGGGCTGGGGTTATGGCTCAGTGGTAGAGCAATTGCCTAGCACGTATGAGGCCATGGGTTCAATCCTCAGCATCACATATAAATAAATAAAATAAAGGTATTCTGTCCACCTACAACTAAAAAAAAAAAACGAAGAATGAGAGAAAGGACAAAAAAGAATGTAGGTTGAGGGACTGGAGTTGTGTGGCTCAGTGGTAGAGCGCTCGCCTAGCATGTGTGAGGCCCTGGGTTCTATCCTCAGCACCACATAAAAATGAAATGAAATAAAGATTGTGTCCACTTACAACTAAGTTGAAAAAAAAAAAAACAACAACAAAGAATGTAGGTTGACTATTCCTTTTCCAAAATGCTTGGAAGTGTTTTAGATTTTGAAATCTTCTGGATTTTAGAAAATCTGCATAGATGTTACCAGACAAGTATCCCTGATCCAAAAAATGTAAAATCTGAAATGCTCCAAAATCTGAATTTACTTTTTATTTTTGTTAGTGCAGGAGATCAAAATCAGGGCCTTGTACATGGTAGGGAAGTGCTGTATCTACCAGCCCTAAATCTGAAACTTTTTGATCATCATGTCAGATTTCAGATCACTTCAGATTTTGTATTTTCAGATTAGGGATGCTCAACCTATACAAGGAACATCAGGAGCAACTGAAGTAAGTAACTATACTAATTTTAAAAATCTCTGCTCCTGATAGACAAGGTAAAACTGTATCTGTAACCACTCCAAAATTGACAATAACTCTCTAGAATCCTACTATGGTATTATTCAACTAAAAGTAGCTTATATATTAGTTACATAAATACTTTTTAATATATACTTTATAAATTACAATTTGGATTCTGAACTGCGATTTCATAGAAATTATGTAAATTAAAGCACACTAAATGCATTGTCAAAATAATTAGTGGGTTAGGTACTATGGATTGAACCCAGGAGAGCTATATCTCTGAACTATACCCCCCAGCCCTTTTTAAAATTTTATTTTGAGACAGGACCTTACTGAATTACTGAGGCTGGCCTCAAACTTATAATCCTATTAAGTCACTGGAATTATAGGTATGTGCCACTGTGCCTAGCTCATTTTACTTATTTTAGAACCATAACTACTCTTATATAGCAAAAAATTGGAAAGAAGATTCTAACAGTAAATCCTTTTTCACCTCTACAGAGTGTGTGAGGTATAAACCCTTGCCAATGTTGAAAATACTATCAGCTTTAATGTCATCTTTGCTGAGTTTCTTTCTTTTTATAAAACTGTGCAATAAATATATATATTTTAATATTTTTATATGACAAATAAATATACAACATATGATATTTAACATGGGTAATCTTCTGTTACTCTGAATTTCTAAATGCCTTCTCCTTGTTGAGTACATATTTCAGAAACTTCTAAAGTTATCACTTAAAGACCTGAAACTCTGTGATATCTCCAAAATAAAAAATGTCAAGAGAGCTTTGACCCCTGGATATGTCCTGGATAACTATGATGATGGAAGCTTTTTCAAATAGGTCTCTGATGCTGGAAAATCTGTATTATGTATACAACCTCTAAGAGTAATAAACATAATGTAGAAATCTGGGTTGCCCAAGAATCTTTTAAATAAACACTTACCTTTAAAATTAGGATTCACTAGTTCTTTACGATTAGAGCACTGAAGGGCATTTCCATAAACTAAGTCCAAAGCACACAGAAGAAGGTGATAAGAATTGACCAAATCATCACTAATCATGGGGAAATTACCTACAGGATTATAGACAGTTATGGAATTAAGTTAGCATCAACTTTACAATATTTAAAAAAATAATTTATTCCTTTATTTTAATGACACTATACAACATCATACAAAGTTGACTCAAGAATTATATTAAGTGTTTTGGGAAGTTCACATTTTGAGACATTACTCATATTTTAATAAATTTCCTAGTGTTAAATGCAAACAAAAACCTTACTAAAAATGCCATGCATTCATTCAGTATTCATTAAATAAGTACTTACTAAATACTTAGTAGCTAACTAAATCTTAGTATTATCATTAGATTTTGAAATTTCTGAAAAGAATTATAGGCTGAGCATAGTGGCACTTGGGTGAGGTGGCAAATGACCAGCTTCAGCAATTTAGCAAGGCCCTAAGTAACTTAAGGAGACCCTTTTTGAAAATAAATAATAAAAAGGGCTGGCAATATGGCTCAGTGATAAAGCACTCCTGGATTCAACTCCCAGTACCAAAAAGAAAAAGAAAAAAGTTTGAGAATTTATAAATTACCTCAAACTGTAAGAAACAATTTGACTTGGATATTATTTAGAAATTATGACTCATAATCAATTTCTCATGTACATACTTTAAAACCATCAGAACTCCAATATAACATTTTTAATACTTTTCTACATGATAGAAACTTATAGAAATTAATGCGACAGGGACTCAAAGATATTTAAATTACAGAGTTACTATCCAAGGTAACTGTTGGTGCTTGGTAACAAACACATAAGAAACTTAAACCTAAACTACAGAAGTGTGTCCTTCCAGCAGTGCTGCTTAAGTCTAATACTAAAAGCAAATTATAGAGGCTGTTAAATTGTTTTATTATTCTCATAAATTAAGAAATATTTCTAGTAGTTTTTTTTTTTTTTTTTTTTTTTAGCAACTTAAATTCTGTTCCTTTTTTGGTCAAATACTGTCTTTATATGCTTCATATTGATTTTACCTTCTTTTAATATCAGATAAATTCAATGTAAATGCCTAATCTATCTGGAGAACTATTTCCAAACCTCAGCATTTCCATACTTAATACCTACCCAAATGCATGCATGTATACACACTGAGCTTCATTTCAGGTTTTCTCTCCTTTCTCCCAAAGAAAGTTACCACTTACCTCAGCATATCAGGATATATGGTTCTTTTTTCATACAAATGGAAACATTCAACAATTCAACTTAAATGAATTAAAAAGAAAAAATCTTCTGGTGTCATATGGCAAATGATCATTAATGAATTAAATTCTATACTGATATATCCAAATGAACTTTCTTGGCTTTACAGAGTTTTAATATTAGACTTAATTCCTCATATATAAAACAGGAAGTGGCATATACTGGTTTCAAGCTACAAAGCCCATCACACTGACAAGTCTAAACTTGCCACTCACATGTACTTGCCACAGGAAGAAAAAACACTAGTACTGTAATTTATGACAAAAAGCTGAAATGCCCCTGAAGATCGTCTTCTAATTTAAATTCTAGGTCTGTTTCAATGTGACATACTTTCTATTCCATACCCTGACCTTATAAATAAATCTCACCTTGTGAGATACTTTATATTTCAATCAAGAAAGATAACAGCTAGTTGGAAAGCTGTTTAACCCATAGACTTGGCTAATTTATCAAGAATGAGAAGATTTGAGATTTCCTATAAAATAGGAAGTGGTACCAATTGGTTTTCTGACCACAAAGCTCTTTGTGTGACGAGCCCAAACTGGCCACTGGTGTGTACTTAACCATATGAAGTCAACAAAGATAGCAAGCAAAAAGTTACTTAGTTCAGGAATGAGAGAGTCTGGGATACTCATATGCTGCGGAAAAAGTCATCAGGAAAAGTGTCTATAGAGGCCATCATCCTACCAAATAAATCAAGAACCGAAGAAAACTAATTAAGCTGATTTCTGAGTAAAGATTCTCCTGCGTCATAAAAGATCATAGTGCGGGTGGGGTGCACACCTGTAATCCCAGCTACTTGGGAGGCTGAGGCAGGAAAATTGTGAGTTCAAGGACAGCCTGGGCAATATAGCCAGACTTTGTCTCAAAAAACAAAAACAAACAAAAAACCCTAAACAAAAACAAACAACAATAACAACAACAACAAACCCACAGTGATGGATTATAAAAGGACAAAGCTTTGGATCAAGTTGTTATAGACTGAATTAATAAGATTCAAACACTGAGTTATTTGAAGCGACAAAAAATACACCACTTCAGTTGATCAAGTGAGGGCAAATATTTTTTAATAGTTTTTATGGTACCAAATACATTTATTCCTAAGTACAAACAAAACAGATAAAACTCCTGAAAATCAGACATACCTTCCCAATACAATCATCTGAAAAGATTACTATCATATATAATATCAGCCCCACAAGCTAAAACTTGTTGCAGCTATTATAAAAATGGTTTATAGACTCCTAACCCTTTATTTCACACCACAGATCATGTCACCTTTATCCTACTACAGAAAGCTGCCAGACTGATGCACAGCATATCGTTCACATTTGACAGAAGACAGACTTCTTTTGTATCAAGCACACAGCTCAAGGAAGTAAGGATATCTGTCACCTAACTAGAGAAGACCAGCTATAGCCAAACAAACCACATCTAGAGACAAATAGCATGACACATCCTTGCTAGAAGCTTTCATATTCAGCATGAAATCAAGAGCCAGGAGGTCTGGGTTCAAATTCTAGCTCTGTTCCTAATACCTAGTCTCTGGGCCTCAGTTGCCTAATTTTAAAGTGAGTAAATTGAGATACCTGATCTAATAATGAGGATCTCTTCTACAAAATCTCCCCTTATCCATGGTTTCACTGTCTGCAATTTGAGATATTAAGTCAACAGTCTGAAAATATTAAATAGAAAAGTTCCAGAAATAAACACTTTGTAAGTTTTAAATTGTGCACTGTTCTGAATAGTAAAATGAAATCTGTTTTGCTGTTCACTGCTCCACCCAGTGTATCCATGCGGTACACACTATCCATCCACTAGTAGTCTTCTTGGTTATCAGATCCATTGTCACAGTATAGCAGTTTTTCGTTCACCCTCATTTTACTTAATAATAACCTCAAAGAGCAAAAATAGTAATGCCAGCAACCTAGATATGCCACAGAGAAGCCCTAAAGTGCTACCTTTAAGTAAAAAAGTGACAGTTCTTGACTTATTAAGGAAAAAAAAATTGTATGCTGAAGTTGCTAAGATCTAAAGTACAATAGATATTTTGAGAGAGACCACATTCACATAACTCTTATATTCTATAATTGTTTTAATTTATTATGTTATTATTGTTAATCTCTTATGATACCTAATTTACAAATTAGACTTTATGTTGGTATGTATAAAAAAAGAACATGTAGGGAAGGGGCAGGGGGTTAGCAATGATAATGGAATGTGATGGACATCATTATCCAAAGTACATGTATGAAGACATGAATTGGTGTGAAAATACTTTTATATAAAAGAGTTTTTCTATATGTGTAGTAAGAATTGTGATGCATTCCACTCTAATGTATTTAAAAAAATAAAAGCAATTTAAAAAAAGAACATGAGATACAGAACCATGTGTGGGTTCAAGCATCCACTTAGAGGTCTTAGAATGTATTCTCCACAGATAAAGGGGAATTACCTTATCTGTGAAAATCCTTCCAGTTCTATGATACTTTATTTTTAACTTTATATTTTATTAGGCTATCTTACAGGCAAAGATATGCCACATAATATTAAAAAAGCTATGTAACTAACCAGTTATATTTTCTTTTTTTTCCTTTAGATATCTAAGAATATTTCCTAAGTAGAAATACAGAAGACTAAACATAATTCAGTGAATGCAGATCTTGAATAAGTGAAATGGGGTGATAAGAAAGGGAGAGAAAATAAACCTAACATAACATTTGGTTAAGTATATTTAGCTGATTAAGATGCAGATAATAACTTGAACTACTCTAGGCTGCTCAGTCCCACTCAGCTGAATGACATGTCAAGAAAAATACAGTTCATAATAGAAAGTGTTTTCAGTTTTAAATTCAGAAGAACAGCTTTGGGTCCAAAAGATGTTGAGTAAGGACAAAATTAAAGGATTCTCCATTTCATAAGAGAAGATTTGGATGGTGTAAAGAATTACAAAAGACCTTTTTTAAAAAAAAGGTGGTACAAAAAGAATCTGGGATTCAAATCCTTAAGAAAATTTTCAGTGAGGATCTGTTCTTCCTAAGAAATATTACAGGTTGATAAAATTAATACCTGAAAATTTAAATAAGCTACTTAATATGTAAATAAATATTACTCTTTTCTTACCTTTTGCATATATAAAAAGCACCCAACAAAAATGGAAAATTTCAGACACGGTACAGGGCTGTCGCCTTTGGGGGAGGAAAAAAAGGTCATGAGACAACATAAGAATTAGAAAAAGACATGCCAAATGACTACAAATTAGGTGTGAAACAAAACCCACAGTTAGAGGAGCGATAATACCAGATTCAGCTTCACAGGGAAAATGTGTAAGAAATTCTACCCCCAACCAAACACTGTGAGGAAATAACTGGGAGCCAAGGAAAGAGCTCATCTCAGAAAGAAAAATATCTGAAAAAATGTTTAAAGTTTTGAGGTCAAGATACAGGACTAGGATTGTGGCTCAGTGGCAGAGCGCTTGCCTAGCACATATGAGGCCTTGGGTTCGATCCTCAGTACCACATAATAAAATAAAGTTATTGTGTCCAAATACAACTCAAAAATAAAATATTTTAAAAAAAGATACATAGGGTAGAAAATAAAATGAAAAACAGTAATTATCTTTATAACATTATCACAGCTAATGCTGCTTTAAGACTCCTACAGGAGGTCACCTGTCCTCTGCCCCCCCACTCTCATAGCTGAGAATACATCTCTCTAAAAATATTCCCAACTACATCAAATCATAAACAGATCTTGTTAAGGTAAATTCTGGCCTTCCTACAAGCCCTTACAATTCCATTCATTGAGAGTACCTGTTATATTTTGCCAAGTTGTCTGATCAGATCTGCTTTAAATCTGGCTTTCCTACAAAAACCTCTGCCAATGTTTAGACAAGATATCTATGATCTCTACATCCCAAAAGCCTTATTATAACAGGGTGTCAAGAAGAGCAAAATACCCTGAAGATAATCAGGAGATTGGGTTTAGTTCTAGTACCACCATTAGCTGGGTACATTTCTCTCCCTGGGCATTAGTCCTCCATCTGTCAAAAGTTTATTCTACTTGGATATAATACTGTGTACTTAATTCAGCAATTCCATGACAAGAATTAAAAGTCAGTGATCTGCTTTTAAAAGTAGCTTCCCTACCACAGCACATGATAAATTATTTGTAGCTTTGATTGACCATCAAGATAAAATTCAAAATTTTTAGTTTAATATTCGAGCCGCTCTAAATTCTGGATTTGTAACTTAAAAACCCAGAAAAAAATTTGACTAACCTACTTGCTGCCAAATTTCCTCTTGCTTTGCTGCTTCTGTCTATTGTTTTTCCTCCACATAGAAGGCTATGCATTTTCTCCAAATTTACCTGTCAAAATCCTGCCCATCCTTTAAGACCTATTTCTATTTAGTCCATTCCTTACCCGACTCACTCATCCAGATTTATTTTTTGCTTCAGGAATCCTATATTCTACTATCAATTGCATTCTGGTGACTTTTGTAATAAGATGTATCACACAAACGGGAGTCTTTTTATCTGCCTCCTCACCTTGACAAAACTGTAAATGCTCAAAAGACAGAAACTATGGGATTTTGTTTGTGAATATCTGTGTCCTACATAAAACCTAACAAAGTACTTCCTTTAGGTAAGTGTTCAATAAATACTCGATGACAAACTTTCAAATTATAATGTGTGTGAGATGTAGCATACAGTCATAGTGAAGCACAGGGATTCTGCAATCAGACTACCTTAGTTTCAATAGTAACTTCACACTCATCAATTGTGTGAACTTGGCCAAATTACCTCCCAGAGGCTTATTTTCCCCATTTGTAACAATAATATCAACCTCATAAGATTGTCATGAAGATTAACTGAATGATATCTGTTTATGTTTTAGAAGAGTCCCTGCCCCCATAATAAATGCTCAGTAAGTGCTGTACATTGTTAGTATTATTGTAAGCAGAAAATGATAATAAAAAGTATAGAGTGCTATAGGACTGGGGGAGGGTAGAGTACCTTAGTAGAGCCTGGGCAAGGTCCTGGGTTCAGTACCCAGCACCAGAAAAAAAAAAAGTGATATAAAAATTTTTAATAACCAAACAAGGTGGTACAATCCTATATTCCCATTTACTCAGGAGGCTGAGGCAGGAGGATCACAGGTTCAAGGTCAGCCTGGGCAACTTGGTGAGACTCTGACTCAAACAGAAAATAAGGGCTGGGATATAGCTCAATTGGTAGAGTGCTTGTCTTGCATGCACAAAGACATGGGTTCAATCCCCAGCATCACTCTCTCACTCACTCACACACACACACAAATAGAAAATAAAAGGGCAGGGGATGTAGCTCAGTGGTAGAAGGCTCCTGGCTTCAATTGTGGTACCCCAAACACAAAATTTAAATTAATTTTATAGTTTTCTTTTCTTTCTTTTTTTTGTGATACTGGGGATTGGGTCCAGGAGTACTCTACGACAGAGTACTTTTTACTTCTTTATTTTGAGACAGGGTCTCACTAAATTTCCAAGACTAGGCTTGAATGTGTAATCCTCCTGTCTCAGCCTCCAGAGTTTCTGAGATTACAGGCAGGCACCACAGTGCCAGCTATAATTTTCTTTTTCTTTTTTTTTTAATAATTTTCTTAAATAGAAATAGGTAGTATATATATCCTAATATCAAAACAAGTGTAATATAAAATCAGTTTCTAGACACTCCAAAGAAAAAAGATATAGAATATCTTTCTATAAATAATCACACTTGCCTTGCTGAAACACAAAATAAAACTTGTACCCAGGGTTGTGGCACAGCAGTACAGCGCTCGCCTAGCACAGACAAGGCCCTGGGTTTGATCCTCAGCACCACATAAAAATAAAAAAATTAATTTTTAAAAAATTGTATCCAAAGTTTAAAATACTTAATTTGCAAATAGTCAAACTCCCAAACTTCAAACAAACTAGACCAGCTGCTTCCATATCTGTAGTGTCAACTATATAAAACACTGGTTTCTGGGCTGGAGTTGTTGCCCAGCAGTAGGGTGCTTGCCTAGCATGTGACACATGGGTTCGATCCTCAGCATCACATAAAAGTAAATAAACAAAATAAAGGTGTTGTGCCCATCTACAACTAAAAAACTTTTTTAAAAATTGTGGTTTGTCATATTTTCCAAAGTTTGTACTTATTGTAAACATCCTTCATAGCTTGGGAAAACTTTTCCATAATGAGAAGCAAACATTATTCATTCCAGTCAAACATAACTCCTTTTCCTGCACTTTATCAACACTTTTCTAGTTCTATTTTAAACACAAATTTCCATTTCTATTTTATAGAAAATCTTTTGTCAAATTTGTATCCTCTAATTGCCCTTAGCTATAAGACAAAAAGACAATGAGCCAGAATAAGGTACTGACTTTGCAGAGCTGATCAGAAAGCACAAATTCATAATAGTTTCAGTTTCCTCTAGCCTTCTCAAGTCCAGTTTCTGTACTTTGATTGATAATATCAAAATACATGGAGAAGTCATTTCAGGGGGTTATTTATTACTCAATTTGGCATAAAAATCAAATTAAAGAATAGTCTCTATAGTCAATAATAGAAAATATTACAGTCAATATGCAGTGTATACCAAGGACAACTGATTGCTGAATACCCCAAACATCTGATTTGTGCAGTCTGCATTTCTGGTTGATTAAATGAAAAGGGAAAGTTTATACCAACAAAGACCCCATACATTTTGCAAAATGAAAGAAGCCAAACTCTTCATAACACACAATGAAAAATAAAAATCATTATTAAAAGAAAACTCTTGGGAAAAAAATTCTTTATGAAATCACATTTCTTTTTTAACACTAACAAAATTAACAGAGGTATCAAAACTAACACAGAAAGACAAACACTTATTCCCAAGAAATAGATATAAAAACCTACCTCTGTTTTCTTCCTCTCTGTTGACGAGGTTGTTCCTCTTGGGGATATTTAAAAATGTCTTGAAAAATAGGTTCATATTTCTTAAAAATTACAGCAGAAACAGTGAAGTTTCTTTCTAATCTCTCAGTACGTTCTCTGAAATGTGGGGGTAGATTTGCCATGTCTTCCCATTTCTTCATCTTGTTAAAAAATTCAATTAAGCTGATAATAAAGATATGAATGAGGTAATTTCATGACTAACATAAAAAGTGAAGTATATTTATATCAATACAAACAGTTAAAAGTAAACCAAAATTATTGTACTAAATTATATTACATTTAGCTGGGTGTCGTGGAGCATGCCTGTAATCCCAGGAAGGGGGCGGGGGGATGGCTGAAGAAAGAGGAATCTGGGCAATTTAGTGGAGTTAAGCAACTTGGTGAGTCCCTGTCTCAAACAAACAAAAAACAAAAAGAAAAACAGTGGCTGGGGATGTAGCTCAATGGTAAAGTATCCCTGGGTAAATCCCCAATAACACAAAAAAAGAAAATAAAAAATAATATTATATTGTGACAGTAATATAAAGTCACAACTCATGTCTTTGACTAGCTTAATATCATACAGATTGGTTTATTACTCTGATCCTTACACCTGAGATTTTTTGTTTGTTTGTTTGTTTTTGGTACTGGGGATTGATCCCAGGGCCTCATGGATACTAGGCATACACTCTGCCACTGAGTTTTATACCTACACCTTTAAAATTTTTTTTTTTTAGTTTGAGCCAGGTACAGTGGTGCACACCTGTAATCTCAGCAGCTCAGTAGGTTGAGGCAGGAAGACTGTGAATTCAAAGCCAGCCTCAGCAATTTATCAAGACCCTGTCTCTAAATAAAATATAAAAAAGGGCTGGGGATGTGGCTCAATGGTTAAGTGGCCCTAGGTTAAATCCCTGGTGCCAAAAAAACTCTTTCAATTTAGTTTTAAAACAAGGTCTTGCTAAATTGCTCAGGCAGGTCTGAAAGTTGAGATCCTCTTGACTAACTGGGATTACAGGATTGTGTCATTGTATCTGGCTACCTGAGGTTTGCCTTTTAAATTATGAAACATTTTAAAATATAAAAAAATGAACAAGAGTAACATAACTAGCAAATACTTACCCAACTTCCAGGATTAACAAATATTAACATATTGAATAAATTTTGCCATGCTTACTTCATATTTCTTTAACAACTAAAAACACTACATAAACAGTCAAAATTCCCATTTGTACTCCTCATTTTAGTCCAATTCCCCTCCTTAGTCCTTCTTCCCGAAAGATAACCACACTGAAGCTAGTCTGATTCCTACCTAAATATGTAGATCCATAAACTTAAGCACTTTTGCATGTGTTTCATATTTTATATGTAAGGAATCATACATTAAGTAGCATTCTGCAACTTGATTTTCAACTCAATGCTTATGAAATTCATTAATGTTGATACAAACAGATTTAATCCATTCATTTAATTGCTAAAAACATTCCTACTCATGAACACACCAAGACTTTTTGCATTCATTCCCTAACCAAGAGAAATTTAGGTTGTTTCTAATGTTTTATAACAAAAATGCTGTAATACCCATGTTTGTTCATGTGTTTAGTAATTTATTTAGGGACCATCCCAAGAAATAGAGTCAGAGAACACACACCTTTGATTTTACTACCTGTTCCATGCATACACATTAAGACACAAGTCCTGTACATATAGTTATAAGCAAAATACCATATGACTAATATTTTATTTGCCTTTTCAATCTGGAGTGTCTCCTAAAGTTCTTAATATCCTTATTTCGATTTCTCCACATTTTACACAATAACTTGCAAAAGTAAATTCTTCCACACAAGTGCCTAATACATATAATGCAAATATTTTCATTAAATTAATAAAATATAATGAATACTAACTTTGAAGTGGTAAAGGAAAACCATGATCTGGTGTCTAAATTCAGCTATCCACATGCTCAGAGAATAATGGACACAGAATTCTTTTTATCACTATGAATTATAAGTTTTTTTATTAATTATACTTCAAACTAATATAATTACCTCTGCTCTGAACAGCGCAGGATTCTTGTTAAAGATACATAATTTCCTTCAACAGTCCCTTTGCTTACAGTTGGAACAGATTTTCTGCAAGCCACATATAAGGCACATGCTAACCAGTGAAGATCATTTCCCTGTAAAATAAAGTAGATTTTTAGCTAATGAACTATGTATATTTCAATACAAAAATTCTTATGTTTAAATGGAAAGAGTAGTTTATATGCTTATAGGACATTTTATTCTCAAAAAATGGTACTGTCCCACATGCTCTTCATAAAATGTGACACATTCTTCCATGAGTGGTGGGAGGTCAGTGTTTCCTCACCTTGAGCCTGGGCAGAAGTCTATGTCCCCTTAAATTGATTAACTGCCTCAACAAATAACACAGGTTGAAGTGATACCACTTAATCTTCCAGAACATGTGCTTGGGAGTCCTACACCAACATGTGAGAAGTCTGAATACCTTGAGTCACAATGCTGGGGAGAGACCATATGATGTGGTCAGTCATATATAGAGAGATGCCCAAGGAGCTCTCCAGCTGTGCCAGTCCTTAGCAGCTCAATCCTTAGCTGCTCTGCCAGTGACTCATGAGGCTGAAGCAGGACAAGTTTGTGGCTGCCTAGGCAACTTAAAGAACATAAAAATAAAAAGGGCTGGGGATGTAGCTTAGTAGTAAAGCACCCTGAATTTAATCCCTAGAAACAAAGGGAAACACAGGAATAAAGCACAGAAAATATAAAAAATCAAAGAGCCAGGCACAGTGGCACATGCCTATAATCCCAGTGACTTTCGAGGCAGAGGCAGGAGGATTGCAAGTTTGAGACAAACTTCTGCAATTTAGTGAGGCCCTAAGGTCTTAGCAAGATCTGACTCAAAATAAAACATAAAAAATGGCTGGGAATATGGCTGAGTGGTTAAGTGACCCTGGGTTCAATTTCTGGTACCAAAAAATAAATAAAAGGTAAAATTCTATAACCAGTATTCTGTATTAAATATATCACAGAACTTTATTTTTTCATTGTACATTTACCTGAGATTCCCATCCCATGTTACCTTTCAGCATATCTGACTATAAGCTCCACAAGGGCAGGGAATTTTAGTTTTGTTCACTGATTTATTCCTAGCACCTAGAATACTGTGGCAAGTAGTAATGGGTACTAAAGAAATATTTGGTACATGAACAAATATTCATGCATTTATTAGGTGCTCTGGGCCAAGAAGAGATTAAAGTCTCACTGATCAAAAAAAAAAATCGAGTAATCAAACATGTTTTCAAAATTAATTTACTAAGCCTGGTGTGGTGACACAGCTGTGGGGAGGTTGAGGCAGAAGGATCTCAAGTTTGAGGCCAGACTGAGCAATTTAGCAAGACCAAGTCTCAAAACAATTTTTTTTTGTTGTTTGTTTTTAAAAGGGGCTAGGGATGAAGCTCTTTAGGAGACCCCTTGCTTAGCATTTGCAAGGTCCTGGGATCAAGTCCCAGTACCAAAAATAATAACAATTCACTAACATCTGTTGCTAAGGTAACACTAGATTTAACATGACAATCTTTATGAGTTGCAATACCTAAACTGTATGGTGACAATGCTTGTTCTAAGTTATAGAAATATCTTGAGGGTAAAATTAGAGCTTGTTTGGAGGCATGTATGTCCTTCAAACAAACAAACAAAAAGTCTTCTAGGAAAGCACCCAGAGAAGTAGCCTCTTCAGCCACATCACCTCAATATACTTCAGTAAACTCTTAAGCAGTATGCATGATGAGCCACACGTTATCTTAGTTAACCTTAAAGACAGTTCTGTGGGGTAGGTATAAATTTATCTCTAGTTTATATATAACAAAATTGAGTTTTCCGGTGGTCAAATAATTTGTTCAAAGTCACCTAGATCTGTCATGGTCTAAAGCCATCATTACTGCCTTTTTCTGTAGAAGTAGCAATGGGGCGAGGGAATTAGTGATCACATTGAAATTCTACTAATATTAGATTTTTTTTTTTTTTTAAAGCAGTCAACAGAAAGACACATACGCAAAAGCAGCATGTCACAGTTAAATCATACCTTGGTAGCAGGCCTTCGTATTTGGAGCCTATCTGCCCTACTCTTTCCACGAGCTACATGTAAAACTACTCGAGAAAATCGAACGGCCTCACGTTTGAATGCCACACACACAGGCAAACAGCCGACAAACAATCCGGACTTCCGTGTCACTTCCCATTGGCCCATGAAGGGGAGGCGCCTACAGAGTTGACAGCCACTGGCTAGGAGGGCTATTTTTCTCATCTGCAAGCCTCGTCTGAAGAAAGGGACAAAACACGTCCGTATCACGGCGACAACCACCCAGATCCTCAAGGTAGTCGCCGTCCTGATTCCTAGCAACAACTGGGGGCGTCTGTCTAGGTCCGGGCAGGCAGAAAGCCCATTTCATTTGGCCGGGGGAAGAGTTGCCTTAATTGGTTTACACGTCCATAAACACAGCCCGAAACTTAACGACGCCTTGACTCAAATGTCTGCAACACCTGGGCAGAGGTAATCAGGTAGAGCCGAAATTGAAAACAAATGGAGGAGAAGCCTCGAGACCCGAGCACTCCGATCCGGCCCACCGCTGCGCTAACAAGCACGAGTCTCGCCCACTCTTCCCACGGTCTGGACAACGACACCTGTTCGTTCGACCACCTTGGTGGGTGGGGGGTTAGATGATTACACAGACCACCACCACCACCACCCTTCTTTTTTTTTTTTTTGTAATCGTGACCCTAGCGCATCTCAACCTGGTTGTGCAATTTTGGTGACAAAGGTGTACCCTGTCCTAAACACAAGAGCGGCGAGAAAGAGTTCACCTCCAGAGCAGCGAGAGCCCTTTAAACGCCGGTTTGCAGTACTACGGTGCGCAAAGAGGAACACTCGCTCTCCGGGGGCCGCAGACCCGGGCGCCCCGAGACCCGGGTCGGCCGGGGGTCCCTGCCGGGCGCCCGACACCCACTGGGAAGGCAACCCATCCCCGCGGCGGGGCGCGCCGACTAGGCCCAGGAAGCCCCTCGCCTCCTCCCCCGAGCGTACCTCCAGAGTGTAGCTCTCGCTCATGCTCCGGTAGCTGTCCCAGGCCTCGGCCCGCGCCGCCTCATCCATGTTGAGGCGGCTACACAGCTCGTCGAACCGCTGCTGGATCTGAGGGGTTGGCGACCCAGCCGGCTGCGCGGCGTCCTCTGCCTCACCGTCGTCCTCCTCCTCTTCATCAGAGCCTGCAGCAACTGGAGGAGGAGGAGGGGGCGGCGGCGACTGGTCGCCACCGGACGGCATAGCGCACCCCTGGACAGCTGGTCCTCAGGTGAGGTGAGGGCCAGGGCCCGTAGCCATTCAAACAGCAAAGCGCCCGCCCGTCAGTCGCCCGTACCGCGACTGCGTCGCCGCCACCGGCGCTTGACCTCTTGAAGGCACCCGTAGTATTGAGCATGGCCCGCTGGGAAATGTAGTCCAAACCGGAAGCTCACGGGGGCCAAAAACCATGAAGAAAAAATCAGCTTGTGTTGTTTTATTGGGGATGAAATACATGCTACTTTTTCGTATATTAAGTATATTCCCATCGTGAGACCATTCAGAAGGCTGTTCTGAAGATAAAAAGTACAAGAAACATTGACAGGAGAAGATTCAGTATCCATATACTTCCTTATCATCTGGATGTCCTTGTCCAAAATGTAACAGGAAGAGCTTATCACCTAAATTCAAACCTCAGCCTTGCTTGTAATTTCTATTTCTTTCCTATGTTTTAGTGTTATGGGAGCCTTTCAAGTAATTATTTGATTTTTTTAAATGCAGTAATTCTCCATCCTCTCCCCAACATGACAAATTTACATTCACTATGACTTATGTGTACTATCCTCAACCACCCAATTGGTCTAACTTTATTTCCTTTTAATTTTTATTATTTTATTTTCTATTTTTACATTCCTAGTGGACTTAAATCACTTTATTTCCAATCTTGTTTTTTCCACTTAAGGTTTTTAAATTGCCAGTCCTCTTTATTATTAGGTATAGTATAAAGCACTTTCATGGAGAACAGCTACAAGGCATTGCTGTTTTGCTATTTTTGTTTAGTATAAACTGAGGGAAAGAAGTACTGGGACAAAAGGGTGGGGTATGGAAGCTATAAAGGCAGGAAGGAGAAGAACAGAAATCTTCAAATAGGGAGGTGGAAATATGAAACATGTTATCTTAGGAACAATTTTGACACAATGAACCTTTAGTAAAATTAGTAGCAGTTTTGGAGTTGGATTTGCACAGACATATAAAATGTATCAGGTCTTCCACCTGGCTGACACATGTTCATTTTCTTTCTTTCTCCCTCTCCCCCTCCACTAGGTTTTGAATTCATCCACCATACCACGGTATACCAGAAGCCTAGGTCACATGAGAAAACCTGTTATCAAAGATAAACCAAGCTGTACATAGTTAAAGCAGGAAAACAGATTTTACTCAGTAGCTGCTGGCAGTAAGGGGAAAGAGCTGAGTTCCACTCCAATTCGTACAAAGATGACCAAGTATTTAAAAGGGAGGAGAAAGGAGTAGAGAGGGGGAGAGAACAGAGCTCAAGTGAAAATTGACAAGGGGCTGGTGGTATTAATGCCATTAGGCCAGCTGGGTCTGCTAGCTGTTAATTATGAAAATCAGGATGCTATCCTCCCCCAGAGACTAGAAGAAGGCCTTAGCCTTCCTGATGATTACAGGGGCTTTCAGGTCCTTAAGAACTCCTGTGTTATAAAAGGTTCACATACACCCCAAAGAGACAGAGGACAAATTCAGTTTTAAGTCCTTTGTAGTAAATATATCAAGAAAGGGAAGCCAGAGACCTAAGTTTAGGTTTTGATTGGAATAAAAAGTAAATTTTCCTAGCATTGCTGAGCTTTCTGCAGCAGATATTTGATGGGGATTGAGAGGGGGCATCTTTCTAGGGATTTAGCCTTAAGATGCTAGAAGCCAGGCCAGAGTTTGGTGGTCTCTAAGTACCAAATTTTGACAGGAGTCTTTATGTGCCAAGAATTCTGCATTTCTCACCAGGTGGCAAGGACTCAAGCAAGCCCCGAGCCTTCAGGCCCAGCTATGTTGAATGGGCCAGTTTGGAAATAGATGCTCTAGGCTTCCAGTCAGGCCATCCCCCTGATACTGTATATACAGCAGAGATGAAACATCCCACTGAGGCCTGTCCAAATTTTGGCAACAAAATTTGTGGGCAAAAAAAAAAAAAACAATTATGTTACCAGAGTCTTGGGTTCCAACAAATTAGGTCCAGCCGCTCACCACAAAAAGACAAATAGAAAAGGTAATGGTAAAAGCAGGAAAGTTGCTCTAATCAATATGTCATATTGTCATCTAGCAGCTCAGCCTTGTCTTCAGGGTGCTGACAAGAGCTTTAGGTTTAAATAGAAGAACTTGGGCAGAAGCTAAGGGGTATGCCCAGTTAAGCAGTCTTGGTCAAACTGTGATCTAATTGATCATTACCTTGATTCTGGTTCTATGAGGTAGCTCCAGAAAAGTCCTTATCACTTGAGGAGGCAATTTCCATTTGATGCTCAGGATGTTTATCTGAGTTGTGATCTTGAAAGGATCCCATGAGGGTTCCTGCTTAGAGAGGGACAGTCTCATCATGGGGTGATCTGCCTGCAAGGCTCTGCAGGCACTACTTTGGTGTGTGGAATAGGAGGTTGAAAAGTCTCTAAAAATATCTTGACTCAGTCTTGAAGGGGGAAGAGAGAGAAAGACAGGTAAATTGGGACTAATAAGCCTGTATTGCCAGTTTTTAGATGAATGCTCCCATTTTAGTCCGCTTTTTTTTGCGGCTGTGACTAAATGACGCGACCAGCACAATTGTAGAGGAGGGAGAGTTATTTATAGGGCTCACAGTTTCAGAGGTCTTCATCCATAGGAGACGGGCTCCATTCCTCAGGGGTCAGGTGAGGCTGAACATCATGGCGGGAGAGTGTGGCAGAAGGACGCAGCTCACATCATGGTGATCAAGAAGCAGAGAGAGAAAGACTCCACTTGCCAGATGCAAACATACCCCATAGCCACGACCCCAGTTAATGAGTTCCTTCAGCCGCACCCCACCTGTCTCCACTTACCACTCAGTCAATTCAATCAGAGATCAATCCACTGATTAGGTTAATGCTATAACCCAGTCACTTCTCCAAACCTTCTTGCATTGTCTTATGTTTGAGATTTTTGGGGATATCTCACATTCAAACCATAACATTCCATGCATAGCCCCCGAAGCTCACATTCATCTAACAATGCAAAATACATTTGGTCCCTTCCCCAGAGTCTCCATAGTCTCAACAGTTCTGAGATTGCTCAAAGTTCAAGTCTAAAGTCTTCTCTGAGGCTCAAGGTAATCTCACCTTGTGAACTCCTGTAAAATTAAAAGTAATTTACAAATATCCTATATTTCAAGGTACAGAGTAAACATTTTCATTTATAAAAATATGGACCTAGAAAGAAGGAATAGGACCAAAGTAAGACCAAAATCCAGCTGGGCAAAGAAGTCCTGTAACTCCATGTCCAGCACATGGCATTGTGATGTTCTCTCCAAAGAGCTTGTGTAGATCCACCCCTGTGGCCTTGTTGGTTGCAGCACAAGTGGCCTTTCTGTGGATTTATCTCTGCTCAACTCCTGAAGCTTTCCTAGGACAATGTTCCACAGTTCTGGCATTTCTTAACCTTGGGTGTCTCCACTGCAGTTTAGGCTTCCACCTCAAATCTCCACACCTTACCTTCTCAGGGAGTGCCCAAAGGGATTCCAACCCTGCTGCACTTTGCCTGGCCTCCCAGGCCTTCCTTTGAAATCTTGGTGGAAGTCTCCATGAAATTCTAACTCCAACATCCTACATTCCTGCAGAATCAGCACCACATGGTTGATGCCAAGGTCCGCTGCCATCTTCAGTAGTAGCCAAGCCTCCAGAGACACTGGCTGCAGCAGCCTCTGAGTGTCTAGGTGGCTGAACATGTTGAAAAAACTTCGTAGGCCCCCTTGTGCAAGAAGAGTACCCCAGGGGCTGGGGTTGTGGCTCAGTAATAGAGCACTCGCCTAGCATGTGCAATGCCCTGGGTTCGATCCTCAGCACCACATAAAATAAAAATAAATAAAATAAAGCTATTATGTCCAACTACAACTAAAAAATAAATATTAAAAAAAGAAGGGTACCCCACTGGTGTCTTCTCAAGAAAATTTCACTTTTACTCCTTTAAACCAGAGATGGGTATGGTCTTGCCAGTTCCTGAGATGCCCTCAAGCCATTATTCTTATTGTCTCTGGACAAAGTCTTTAGCATTTTTTGTGGCAGTAATGTCTTTAACAACTGCAACTTCCTTAGCCCGTTTTATTCCAGCCTTTCAAGTTCAAGTTTTTCGAATATTTCTGCTCTGCTTTCTGCTCTTGATTTTCACAATAAATTTGGCTAAATGCTGTCAGCAAGCTTTGTGTAGTGGCAGCCAATGAGGTTTCTCTGAGGTGAAATTATTGCTAATTGAAAAAAAAAAAAAAGCTACCAGCAATACCCATGCCAATTCCTGAATACTATGCTGCCTAGACAGTTCTTCCTCCAGATTAAGAAGTCAATCACTTTTAAAATCAGCCTCACAGAAAGTCTCAGGACATGGGCAAAATGCAGACAACTTCTCAGCCAGAATATAACACAAACAGCCTCTACCCCAAATTCCAAGAGTCCTCCTTTTCTGAACCCTCTTGAACCCTGTCTTCACTGACCATGGTTCTATTGCCATTCAGATCTTCTGAGCTCCCACCAGAGTCAGCCATTAATCTCCACTTACAACAATCTAAAGCATTTCCAGCTTGCACTGCTACATATCTCAAAATTCCTCCCATCAATACAAAATGCTCAAAAAGCTTCTGAATCACGAGGTCAGGTTAATCACAGCAATGACCCCACTCCTGGTACCAATTTCTGTTTTAGTCAGCTTTTTTGCAGCTGTGACTGTTAGAGTCTGTAAACAAGTCAGTATGGCGCCTGGCAAATGTTAGAGTCTGTAAACAAGTCTGGATGGCGCCTGGCATTTTGCCAGAGGGAGTGGTTAATGTTAAAGTGTGTAAACAAGTCTGGATGGCGCCTGGCAAAATGCCAGAGGGAGTGGTTTGTGAAGTAACGCCAGAGAGCCATTAAGTGTGGAGATTCCTTATTGGTTGACTGATGTATCTAGTTGCTAATTAAGATAAGCTGTGCAAAATGTATAAATACCTCTGTTGTCCTACAATAAAGGGCTCCTACTCCTGCTGTATCAACGTACACAAGTTGTTCATTACACCCCCCCCCCCCCCCCCCACCCCCGGTTATTTTGCAGCCAGCTGGCCTTCAACAGTGACTAAATGACT